TGTGAGGGCCTCATTAGTCTTTGAGAGTCATGTCTACAACATGCTAATTAGCTTCCACAAGGCCTCTGAGTTGGTTCCCATTCTCGTGCTCTGAACAAAATATCCTACAAAACCAATTTTTAAAAAAGGAGAGTTGGTTTTTGGCTCACAGCTCAGATATTCAATCCGTCTGGGTGGGGAATAGCAGGAGCTCGAAGCAGCTGGTTCCATCGTGTTTGTTTAGGACAGCAAGGGATGAATGATGCCACTCAGATCCCTTCCCTCTTTTCACTGCATCCCAGTCCAAGGAGTGGTGCTGCCTGCATCTAGGGTCAGTTTTCTCACCTCAATTAATCCAGTAGAAAACCCCTCACAGAAATTACTGTGAATACATTTCCATGGTAGTTCTAAACCCCATCAAGTTGGCAATCAATATTAACCATCGCAGCTCCGCTCCCTTGTAAACTTGATACGGACCAAACACATCACTTTTAGTTGGTAACTTTTCATCTGTTGGTCCCGTATATTCATGACCATACAGCAAAATGCCTTCAGTCCAACTTAAAAAGTATCCATGGTCTTTAAGGGTTCCAATACAGTTCACATGTACAGTTGTCTCTTCTGAAACTCAGTTTCTTAACTGTGAGGCCTTAAAATGCCCAAAAGGAATATGCATACAATAACAGACTAAACATTATCATCCCCAAAGGGAGGAACAAGGGTACAGAAAGGACAGATAGGAGTGAAGACCAACTAAACCCCAGCAGGGCAAATATCAAACCCTGAAGCTCGTGTCCAGAATTTGGGTTTCAGATTAAACCACATGGACTCCAAAGAGCATAAAAAGCAGTAGTCCTCCATCTCTGCTGCCTGTAGTGGACATAACCTTTTTCTTAGGCTGGTTCCACTTATAGCCTACAATTTCCTCAGGAGAAACCTCATGGTGTGGGTGTACTGACACCCTGGGATCTCCACCACAAATAAGACTTCACTTTCAGAGCTTTGGGACTTCCCTTAAGGGGCTCCTTTCAGGGACTCTGCTAGAATGATGCCTGTCTCAGAAGCCTCTAGAATTATTGCACAAGCCTCTATGGCATCCTCAGCCTTGCATCCTCAGAATCATCAAAAGATTTAGCACGCTTGGTGCGAGGTCCAGAAGCACCTCTACTAGGAAAAAAAGAACTGCTCTCTGGACACACAGCACCTTGGACACTCACCTGGCTGTCTAATGGATTCCTGGTGCCACTCCAGACATCCAATAACCTAATATCCATCCTATCTACACACAGGTGCTTTTTGCTGCCCACTATCTACAAAAAGAATGGAGACACTAGATCTCAACCAGAAATAAAAAAAGCTGCCTTCCAGAACTACAAAACCTGCTTGCCAATTCAAGGCTTCATCTCAAAACCTTCCATATCCCCCTCATTGGCATCACTGGCTCCCTGTCCCCTATTTCAACAGAACCAAGAGTACTGGATTTGCTATGCCGCCACTGTCCTTTCTGTGTTCCCCTGACTGGATGGAGACTTGGCCTTACCTTCGGCCTCTTGGACAGTTCAAGCTGCTGCTCCTCCAGGAACCAACAAATACCCCAGTGGGAGAAGGTGGGTCCTACCCCTGAGTGTATGATGCTTCTCTGCCTCTTCACAACCATCCCTTAACCTGCTGGAACAGTCTTCCCTTGTCTATCTCCTCAGAACAACCAAGCCTACACAGTGAAATGCCATCTCAGAAGACAAGGCTAACAAGCAAACAAAAAGACAGCTACTGAAGGAAGCAGTTTGGGGCAGGAGAGCTGCCATGAGCCTTTAGCTCTCAGCCCTTGAAACTAGATGGTAGCAGATCTCTCTGAACTTGAGATTGCTCTCCAAAAAAAAACCCTCCAGTTTCATGACTTATTTTTTGTTTTGTTTTGGTTTTTGGTTTTTCAAGACAGGGTTTCTCTGTGTAGTTTTGGTGCCTGTCCGGGTTCTCCCTCTGTTGACCAGGCTGGCCTGGAACTCACAGAGATCCATGTGGCTCTGACTCCCAAGTGCTGGGATTAAAAAAGTGTACCACCTCCTCACAGCCAATGACTTATTTTTGAAATGCTGTTTTCAAGAGCAATGTTTGTAATTCCAATTTCAACTACAAAGTAATAAAGTTTCTGGACCCAAGTATGTGAGGTTGTGTAAAAGAGTTCATGAGAGACCATGTGTGCTTGTGTGTGTCAGAGGTCCCATGTCAGGCATACTGCAGAGCAGATATTCACAAAATAGTTCATTACAGTAGTAAAATTACAGTTATTAAGTAGCAACAGAAATAATTTTAGGGTTGTGGGTCCACAATTCATGAGGAACTGTTTGAAGAGTCCCAGCATTAGGACGGTGGCGAACTATTCACTTAGGACTGTCTGCTCTTGTATCATCCACAGGATGGCACTTAACCACCTGTAACTACAGTTCCAGAAGATCTCTAATACCCTCTTCTCTCCAGGCTCTTGTATGCCCCAAGTGCATGTGCACTAACAAAGGTCTACAAACTTGCACATAATCCAATTGAATATAAATAAAGGTTTAACAAAGAATGAAAAAAATCAGATTAAGAACTTCTTCTACAGGGAGTGTGTGTGGTGTCTAGTCTTGGTTGTCATCTTGATTATGTCTGGAATTAACTAAACCCCCAGAGGTCAAGTATACCTGTGAGGGATTTTTCTTGATTGAATCATTTGAGGTGGGAAGTATAGCTGAGTATTTTCTGAGTCCTGCCCAGTCCACAGCCTCCTAGACCCAAGGAAACACAGAAGCTTATATTAATTAAAACTGCTCAGCCATTAGCTCAGGCTTGCTATTGACTACCTCTTACACTTAAATTCAGCCCATTTCTGTTAATCTATAAGTCATCACTGGTTCCGGGGCTTTATCTGTGTGTCATTACATGCCGCTCCATGCACAGCAGGCTGGTGTCCTCTGTCACTGCCTTCCTCTTCCTAGAATTCTCCTTTTCTGCTTATCACACCTATACTTCCTGTTTGGCTACTGGCCAATCAGCATTTTATTTATCAACCAATCAAAACAACATAGATTCACAGCATACAGAACATCCCACAGCATGGAGGACCCAATCTGAATCTGGATCTTTAGAGGTGGAAAGATCCCCAACACAGCAGGAGAAGGAAGGTGTTGGTACATGCACCCTAGCCTTTGGGAGGTATAGACAGTCAATCAGAAGTCCAAGGTTATCCTCACTGCATAGTGTGTTTTGGGCTAGTTGGGTTGGGTACATGAAACGCTTGCTGAAAAGAAATGCGGAAAGTATTTCTAAGGTCCTTAGAGTACTTTGAGGAATAAATAGGAAAAGGAACAGAGCCAGCTAGAGGAGAAGGTCATGGGGCACAAATGAAATCAAGGTCTATTTTGCACATGTATGAGAATGTCCTAAAGAAACCCAGTATTTTCTATAGTTGGTAAGAGGAGGAGAGAAACAGAGGGAAGACTTTTGGGAGAACTTTTCCAAGAAGATCACTCAGCAGGGCAGACAGAATCATCACATGACTGTCTTCCTCTCATTTAACAGAGTTTTCCAATGGATGTCCATAGTGCCAAGTAGTAGATTCATTGATATACTATTTAAAAGGTAAGAAACATTCAATGGCTGGACAGTGGTGGTGCATGCCTTTAATGTCAGCACTTGGGAGGCAGAGTCAGAGCGATCTCTGGGAGTTCCAAGCCATCCTGGTCTACAGAGCAAGATCCAGGATAGGCACCAAGCTACACAAGAGAAACTCTGTCTCAAAAAACTAAAAAAAAAAAAATTAAAAATTAAAAATTAAAAATTAAAACGAATGAAAGAAAGAAAAGAAAAAAAGAAACATTCAATAAATATGCAAATGAAAAAGCATGGTAACCTCACCCATCAGGATCTTAGGCCTACATCTTGAGTAGGCCATATGGACTACCAGACCCCTGTTAGATATAAACAAAGAAATAAGTAGATAAGTAAGTAAGTAAGTACTAATCAAACAAACAGGCCCAATAAGGGACTGGCCTTGGCACTTAGCTCTAGTGTTGTCTGGCATGTATAAGGATGAGCTCCTCCAATAGGGGATAGTAGAGACAGGAGGAGGGAAGACAGAGACAGTCATAAAGAGTAAAACTGGCCGGGCGGTGGTGGCGCACGCCTTTAATCCCAGCACTTGGGAGGCAGAGCCAGGCGGATCTCTGTGAGTTCGAGGCCAGCCTGGGCTACCAAGTGAGTCCCAGGAAAGGCGCAAAGCTGCACAGAGAAACCCTGTCTCGAAAAACCAAAAAAAAAAAAAAAAGAGTAAAACTGATTTCAGGTGTCAAACACAGAGCATAACAAATAGAAGGAAAAATATCAAAGATGCCACTTACAAATTAAGCAGGACTATGCTTATTTTCCATTTTTAACACAAACAAAGGTTTTAATTTTGAAAGATTTCTTTTCCACCCCTGATGACCTTTGAGGATAAACTAATCATGTCTTAGAGACATGGTTTCTTGGGTCCAGCCTAGCCTGGAATTCGCCTTTTGCACAGACTGGCCTAGTACTCCCCATGCATCAGGCTGGCCTTGAACTCCTGATCTCCCTGTCCTTGTCTCCCAACTTCTGGGGTTAGGGAAGTTCTGATACTTTTTTAAATTTCTCTCTGGGGATCGAACCCATTGGCCTCCAGCATGTGAGACAAACACTCTATCCTTGGGGTGTTTCCTTAGATCAATTCTTTGCACGTGATACCATATAAATCTAATATCGATTTTTGATTAAATTAAAAACTAGCCGTATACAAAAATTTAGCCACTGGTTTTATTAGCAACCTTCACCTCCAACGAACAACTCAAGTTTCACTTTGTTAATTTCCATTTCCATTTTATTTTGGGAATGAAGAAAACGTTTAGGACTTGGTATGTGGGGATGGGGCAAAGAATCCATGAGTATGTAGGAAGGGGTTGGGAAAACAGTTTTCCTATTTCTATCTGTTGCCAAAAATCAGGCTATACAAACAAAGACATGCCAAGGTCGATTTCTCCTCTCAACCACCACCACCCAATAACACCTGTGTGCATACACACGCACATGCACACTGGCACACAGGTGGGTTCTTGAAGGTTGAGGGTCACACCTTGCCTGGGCCCCGCCATGCCTGGGTGGGGCTTTCTTGGAAGGCAGGCTTAAATAGGGAACTGTGGTCCTCTCCAAATACTCTTGATCAGTCAGTCATCCTGACCACGTCTCTCTCCTAGAGGGTCCACAGAGTCTCTTGCAGAAGAAGCCACACAACAGTTGTCCCTGAAGGAAGACCTCCAGCACTCAGAAGAAGCCAGACGACAGCTGTCCCTGAAGGAAGACCTCCAGCAAAGTCCATCAGCTGCATCGGACCTTGTCTTGCACCTCTCCTCAAGTGCCAAGGCCGCATTGCCACCATGATGCCAGGAGTGCGGCCCTGCAGCCCAACCGACAACCCGCTGCCCTGCTGGGCACCACAGCCAGAAGGACCCAAGCCTGCCAAGCGCCGACGCCTCCACGAGTGCACCTGCCCGGGGTCGCAGGCACAGCCAGACCTGGAAGCGCCCACCAGGCCGGCCAGCGAGCAGCTCACCACCACCACCTTGTTCCTGCCTGCTGGCCTTGCCCTGAAACTCCATCTGGAAGGTGGAGACCTGCTGCTGGAGCCCGAGCCAGATTCCGTCAGGAGAGTGACGCTCCCTGGACACACCATCATCGTGGTGCCCCAGGATCTCCAGGACTCCACACAGACTGCACAGCCTGGCTTCTGGCCCTCCAGGCAGCAGGATGCCACTCTCCTGGAAATTCCCCAGTACCACCAGGTCATCTTCCAGCAGGGATTCTCCATACATCTGTATCAGACACGCAAGACTGGGGAGACGCCTCTGACCCACATGAAGACACTCAAGGAGGCTTAGGAGACTTCCTGACACCTATGCCATGGATGAATGCTCCTTCCGAACCCGATTGGGACATGAGAGTGACGCTCCCTGGACACACTATCATGGTGCCTGAGAATCTCCAGGACTCCACACAGACTGCAGCCTGGCATCTCGACCACCAGCCAGCAAGAGGCTGCTCTCCTGGAAATGCCCCAGGACCACAAGGTCATCCTCCAGCACATCTTTATCAGACACCCAAGGCTGGGGAAATGCCTCTGACCCACATGAAGACACTCAAGGAGGCTTAGGAGACTTCCTTAAGCCTAAGTCATGGATGAATGCGCCAGCCGTGTCCGACTGACACATGAGAGTGACGATCCCTGGACACACCATCGTGGTGCCCGAGAATCTCCAGGACCGCACAGCCTGGCATCTCACTCACCAGTCAGCTGGAGGCCACTCTCCTGGAAATGCCCCGAACCACCAGGTCAGCCTCCAGCGGGGATCTTCCACAACATCTGCATCAGACACCAAAGGCTGGGGAAACGCCTCTGACCCACATGAAGACACTCAAGGAGGCTTAGGAGACTTCCTGACACCTATGCCATGGATGAATGCTCCAGCGGAACCCCATTGGGACATGAGAGTGATGCTCCCTGGACACACCATCATGGTGCCCGAGGATCTCCAGGACTCCACACAGACTACACAGCCTTATGGTGATATTTTATTTGTATTAAAATATTATTTGTATGTTAATAAATAAAGTTGCCCGGGGGTCAGAGCTATTAGCAAGCCATAGGAAAGCAGGGCAGTGGTAGCGTACGCTTGTAATTCCAGCACTTGGTAGGCAGAGCTGGGTAAGTCTCTGTGTGTTCAGGGATACAGCCATTATTGGATACACATGCTTTTAATCTTAATACCAATCATGGAAAACCTGGAGGCCTATACAGACAGGCTGTGAGGAGGCGGTCATGTGGTTGGGTTTACAACCAATGAGAAGGCAGGACAAGAACTCTATATAAAGACTTTAACACAGGGGTAGCTCTGGTTCGGAGAGGTAGGACCACCGCAGGAGGAAGGGTAAGGTTTTAGCTCTTAGCTCTGACCTCTTGGCTTTCTTCTTTGCATTGGTTCTGTGTTTATTATTTAATAAGAAGGTTGGATACATCTACACAGCCTGGCTTCTGGCCCTCCAGACAGCAGGATGCCGCTCTCCTGGAAATTCCCCAGTACCACCAGGTCATCTTCCAGCAGGGATTCTCCATACATCTGTATCAGACACGCAAGACTGGGGAAACGCCTCTGACCCACATGAAGAAACTCAAGGAGGCTTAGGAGACTTCCTGACACCTATGCCATGGATGAATGCTCCAGCCGAACCCCATTGGGACATGAGAGTGATGCTCCCTGGACACACCATCATGGTGCCCGAGGATCTCCAGGACTCCACACAGACTGCACAGCTTGGCATCTGGCCCACCAGCCAGCAGTAGGCTGCTCTCCTGGAAATGTCACAGGACGACCAGGTCATCCTCCAGCAGGGATCCTCCAGCACAGTGGTATCAGACACTCAAGGCTGGGGAAATGCCTCTGACTCACATGAAGACACTCAAGGAAGCTTAGGAGATTTCCTGAGGCCTATGCCATGGATGAATGCTCCAGCTAGCATGGTTCCAGGGATGCCTCTCCCCTTCACTGAGGTGTCCAGCCCCTTGTTCCCAGGCCAAGTGTCACATTCCTGGGGCCCATCAGCCCCTCCTGGTGCAGAGAGATATGCTCCCAGCTCCATCTGGAGCCTCAAAGGCAGCATGCTGTGGCCTCTCCCCAGCTCACCGCTGCAGCCTCTCCCTCCATCTCCCTCTCCTCCTCCAAGTCATCAGGCACAGGACCCTCAGAGTCATCAGAAGATCTGGTGCCCTTGCTGCAAGGCCCAGAGGCACCTCTTCTAGGAAAGAGAGGACTGCTCCCGTGCCACTTGAGACACCAAATAACCCAACATTCAGCCTGGCTACACACAGGTGTTTTGGGCTGTGCACTATGGAAGAATGGAGACACTAGATCTCACCCCTGAAGTCAAAATGCTGCCTTCCAGAACCAATTCAAGTCTTCATCTCAAAACCTTCCACATCTCCCTCATTGGCATCACTGACTCCCTGGACAGACACTCTCACTGTCCCCTATTTCAACAGAACCAAGAGTACTGGGTTTGCTACGCCACCACTGTCCTTTCTGTGTTCCCCTGACTGGATGGAGACTTGGCCTTGCCTTCGGCCTCTTGGACAGTTTAAGCTGCTGCTCCTCCAGGAACCAACAAATACCCCAGTGGGAGAAGGTGGGTCCTAGCCCTGAGTGTATGATGCTTCTCTGCTTCTTCACAACCATTCCTTAACCAGCTGGAACAGTCTTCCCTTGTCTATCTCCTCAGGACAACCAAGCCTACACAGTGAAACACCATCTCAGAAGACAAGGCTAACAAACAAAGAACAAGACACCTACTGAAGGAAGCAGTTGGGGCAGGAGAGCTGCCATGTGCCTTTAGCTCCCAGCCCTGGAAAACCAGAGGCTCCCTAGCAGATCTCTCTGAAATGGAGTTTGCTCTCCAACAAAAAACTCTAGTTTCATGGCTTTCTTTGAAATGCTCTTCTCCACAGCAATATTTGTAATCCCAACTTCACTCATAAATTAATAAAATTTGTAGACCCCAGTATGTGAGGCTGTAAAGGAGTTTTGAGAGAGAGAGAGAGAGAGAGAGAGAGAGAGAGAGAGAGAGAGAGAGAGAGAGTGTGTTTTTGTGTGTTTTTCTGTGTGTGTATGTGTGTGTGTGTGGTAGAGAAAGAGGACAATAAAACCGCAAGCAGTCTGGGGGACTGTGTGATCACACAAATTGGTTGAAAATCAGCCTGCTAGGGAAATCAAGGGTCTCACCTTCCCTTGATCCCACCGAGTATAAAGCAATACCCAATGTATGATCTCAATAAGAAACATATTAAATATCAATTGCAGGAAATTCATTCTGCCTACCCATATCAAGAGAAACAGGTATCTTTAAAAATTGAAATAGAATTAGAACACAAAGAAATGAACACACACACACACACAAAATAAGTCACTGGAAGTGATGGGGTTCAGTGGGAAAAGGTAATTTTTTTAGTAAGATGACAGGACCATCATATTTCACATGAAAAGTGAAACTGAATAACTATCTGGTGGTTTTAATAATCTATTCCATCCAGATATGAGGTTAAATTGTGCTGGGTGTGGTGGCCCATGCTTCCAACAGCAGCAGTGAGGACACTGAGAGAAGAATGGGAAGGGGTCAGGGCGACACTGGCCACACTGACCTTTGGTAAACCTGACAGAGAGGTAAATTGGGAAAGGTAACATGGGAAACTATGAGGAGCAACTGAGTGTGGTGGTGCATGCCCATAATCCAGGTGAGGGCAGCTGGATCAGGAGTTGGAGCCCACACACAGCTACACAGGAAGTTCAAGGGCAATGGGGCTGTAAGGGACAGTGTCAAAGAGATCCAAAAGTAAAGAGGGACCAGAGAGAGGGTTCAGCACTTGGAGTAGTGATTCTCAACCCATGGGGAGAGGCCACTTTGAGGGGTCAGAGGGCCCATGTCAGGCATACTACAGAGCAGATATTTACAAACTAGTTCATTACAGTAGTAAAATTATGGTTATGAAGTAGCAACAGAAATAATTTTAGGGTTGTGGGTCTACAATACATGAGGAACTGTTTGAAGGGTCCCAGCATTAGGATGGTGGTGAACCATTCACTTAGAAGGACTGTCTGCTCTTGGAGCACCCACAGGATGGCACTTAACTGTAGAGAGCCATGCACGGCCGCGCCTCAAAGATGGCGCTGGTGTCCGGCTTCCACCTTCCCAATGGCAGGTGTTCTCTGGGATAAACAACTCCTTATTTGGCTTGGGCGTGGAATCTGGCTTGCTTGCATATGTCTGACCCTATCGGCATTGTCCACATGGCACTACAGGGTTGGTTGCCCAGTGGCTATAAAGGGCGTGGGCTGGCTTTCCTTGGAGTCAGAAGATGGCTTTCCCCGGGGTCAGAAGATTGTTTAAGGTTCCTGAATAAACTGCTTGGAGGAGAGCCTGGTGTTGCGTCTTCCTTGCTGGTCGAGGCGGACGCGACAAGTGGTGGCCCGTACGGGGACCCTTTAAGGCTCAGAACTCTTCACAGTCAGGGCAGTGCACTGGTAAGTCCCCAGGTAAGGTGGGGATCCACAACAAAAGCGGGAAAATTAAGCAGAGCCACGACAAAAGTGGACAGGAAAATTAAAACGTAGAACCATGACAAAAATGGTTGGGAAAATTAAAGAAAGTGAAAGCAGGTGAAGGCAAAAGTGCTGCTGGTATCATGGGCGCAACTTCTTCGCACCCAATTTTTCTGACTCTTAACGAGCTGCTCCTTTCAAAGAAATTAGAGATTAAGAAGATTACTTTAGAAAGATTTCTAGAGGAATGTGATGTCGTGGCACCCTGGTTTGCAGTTTCCGGAAGCCTCATGGTAGCTTCCTGGGAAAAGTTGGCCCGTGATCTAGACTTCGCTGCAGAACAAGGGACGCTTAAACATGGGGTTAGACCAGTTTGGAAATTAGTGAGAGGGTGTCTCGAAGGCCAGCGCTGCAGCGATGCGGTAGAGAATGGGCAGGCAGCCTTAGAAATGTTGCAGGAAGAAAGATCAGAAAAGGCCATGTCTGCTAAAGCAGCGTCTACCAGAAGTAAAACAAAAAAGGGGGAAGAAAAAACAAGGTTATATCCTGACCTTTCAGACCTAGAGCGTTCCGAGTCCCCTATCTCTTCCCCTGATTCTGATGTAGAGTCATTATGTGAAACCTTGTAGAGTGTGAGAATAAGAAAGAAAAGGGGTAGAAATAAAGGAGAAAGAGAAAGAATTAAAGGATGTGAGTCTGAATGTGGAGCCGCTCCCTCAGCTCCTCCACCTTATCTATAATCTGCCTCCATGTCTAGAGTTGTCTCTATGGGGAATTCTTTTAACCTGGAGGTT